TCCGGACAAATCGATGTTCGGTCGTTTCCTGAATGCCTGGGGGGCTCCAGGCACGCAGGAAATCTTCGATCGTCGCACTTCGAGTCTAGATCCATTGCCTGTTTCCTTCGATCCAGGAACTTAAACCTCGAGCCCCAAGCGTGGAACCAAGATCGTCGGGTCAGTTCGATGTACTTCGTAGGAGAACGCCATCTGGGCGCTTTGGGGGCTCTTTTGGGCCGTCCTGGGGCCCTCTTGGGCCGTCCCGGGCCCTTACTGGGCCGTCTTGCGGAGTTGGGGCCTTCCAGAGGTCTTCTGAAGCCATCTAGGGCCCTCTTGGGGGCCTCCAATGGCCTTCTTGGGGGTCTCCCATGGCTTTCGTAGGGGTCTCTCTTGGAAGCTTTCTGGGGGCATCTTGGGATTCTTGTGGGCAGTCTTGGGGCTCTCTGGGGCAGTCTTGGGGCCCTCTTGGGCCGTCTTCAAGCCCTCTGGAGGACCTCTTGGGCCGTCCTTGGGGCGATATCGGGGGCCCATCAGGCCGTCTTGGACGCTGCGAAGACCCAGAAAACGGAGATGTTAAAAACATACGTACTCTTGAGGGAATGGGGCGATGGTTGTTTCTTCGGGGCTCTCCAAGGGCGTCTTGGGGGCCTCTTGGGCCGTTTTCAGACCACCGAGGCTCATTTGGGAGCGTTGTTGTGCTGTCTTGGGTCTCTTTCGCGCCGTTCCGATGATTCTTCTGATCGTCTTGCGTCTGCTCGCAGGGCCTGGCAAAGCTCCCTGGGAGGCCCGGAAGGGCCAGCGGACTTTTTCCAAGAGCGTCAAGGGAGCCGCCGAAACGTCCGAAAGGGCGCCCGGGGCGTCCCTGGGGGGCTCCGGTTTAGGGGGAGGGGTTGCCAGGTAATGAGAGCATAGGAACAGGAACATATATATATATATATATATATATATATATATATATACATATATACGTATATACGTATATACGTATATACACATATACATATGCATCTGAATGTGCATATATATATATATACATATATATATATATATATATGTGTATATATAGGCTCCTCTCTCTCTCTCTTTTTTCTCTCTCTCTCTCTCTGTCTCTCTCTCCCCCTCCAAGTTGTCTTCTGTTTACGGCGGCACTGATGCCACGATTTGCGATGGCGGCGGCAGTAACCATGGCGACACCAGCGGCAGCGGGAAGACAGCATCGGCGACAGCGGCAGCGGCGCCACCACAGCATGCTCCATTGTTGTCGTATCTCCTTCCAGGTGTCATCGGACCGATTGACCCAAATCCGTCGGGGGGCAGTCGACGCCAAACATACGAAGCGATCCTCGCAGTTGATGTCGCATGACGTTCTCCCTATGTCGCCTGGATCACTTCGGGGGTCGACCGAAGGTCACCTCGAGGGTTGACCGAAGGTCACCTCGAGGGGCAAGTTCGGGGAGCAGGTGGGCAAACCAGAAGGCCAAGTAGACACACCAGAAGATTGATCTGGCGTCGCTCCGACGAGTGTCTTTTTCTTTCGGCGGGGACCATCGAGGAGCATCCTGGATCGTCCTGCGATTACCATGTAAGAAAATATGTGTTCATCCGAAAATCACGAAACCGAGACATGCACGTGGACTGGACGTCCGCGCGATGGCAAGCTACAGCCTGACCAGACAGCCTGCTGGCACAGCACCAGCCTCTCGTCCCGAGTCGTTTCTGGCGTTCCCCAGGCCCGAGGGCCCCGGGGAGCCCGAACACGGCGAGGCCTGCTTTGGTCTGCGGCCGCCCGACCTCGAACAGCGCTCGGGCGCTCCAGAGAGAGAGAGAGAGAGAGATAGAGCGCCGGTTCATAGCACTGGTGCTCGCTGAAACCCTACTCAAGCAGTGCCGACGCGTTCTGGCTGGCCTATAGCCCTACCAAACAATGTTCTAAGAACCTTTTGTGGCTCCCACGAAATGTTCTTAGAACATTTCTGGCGGAGACTGTCTCGGTTCAACACATCGGGTTAATGTTCTGAGAAAGCTGGTTCTTGTTCTTCGAACATTTCTGGGTTCTAAGAGAATTTCGTGGTAGGGCTATAGGAATGCCGGGACGGTCGGTCCCTGCTGAACCTACACGCCGCCACGCTGGTCCCTGGCAGGCCGTGCTGCCCAGCGAGAGGGAGACGGGTGATGGGGGAGAGAGCAGCAGGCTCGAGCGCCAGAGGGCGCTCCCCGAGGCTAGGCGCACTGAGGCACTGCAGCGGGCGCGGGGGCGGGCGAGCACGGCGAGACAGGTCAGGACTCGTGTCCCTCGGGGGTGCCCCTCGACGAGTGCTGCAAGTACCTTCAGGGAGGGCGGCGGTGTGCGGAGCCGCTGGCTCAGAGTGGTGGTTGACACACGGCCATGCTCCCCTGAGTCCCAGGAGCAATCTATTGGAGGGTGCCTGTGTACATCTTTTGTGTTGCGGAGAGAGTGCAGTGCGGAAAGAGTGGAGAGCAAGCCAAGATTCGATCACGGTGTCGACACGGACGCTTATCGACTCGAGACAAACAAAAGGACCCTCGATTTCACGGCGAAACTTGGCGCAGGCCATCCACAGGGGCGCAAAGGCAGCCGCGTGTCCCGCGTGGCGGCTCGGGCCTGACGGCTGCCCGTCTCCAGGGGGGCGCCGCGGGCGCGTGAGGGCAGGACCGCACGTCGTGGGGTGCGATGTGCGAAGGCAGGTGACGTAGGTCCTCGTGCACATTCGGTGGCATGCGATTCGGAATGTTGGCTGATGGTGTCGCCCCGCCGGTTCCGGCCCACCACGCTTCGGCGCGACACGCTGACCACTTCCCAGTCCCCAGGCGTCAGCGTCCCGAGCCTTTCCAAGCCTCCTGCCCGACGGATCGGAGCGGCACGCCGTCAGATTGTAAGGCATGGCGTGTTGCCGCGGCCGCCGCGGCGACACGCTAAGCAACAGTTCCTGCCGCCTTCGCCCTCGTTCGCCTCTTAATTGGACCACCTCCGCCATCTTCTCCTCCTCCTCCTCCTCCTCATCTTTCTCCTCCTCATTTTCATCCTCATCCTCATCCCCTTCCATTCCTTTTCCTGGTAATGACTCCTCCATGTCCCACCCCGAGGCCGGTCGAGAAAGGGCGGGCTGGGTGCTTCTTTTTGAGATCACCAACCATGATCTTGAAGTTTGAGATGCAACAGTTTTATGGATGAGGAGCGGGCGGTTTTCAAAATGTGGTTCTCGCCTTAGCGCCGCACGCATTCGTCTCAAGCGGGCACAGCAGCTTCACGGATGGAGGGCGGGCTGTTTTCAAAATGTGGTTCTCGCCTTAGCGCCGTGCACATCCGTTTTTTAAGTTGCAACAGCTTCACGGATGGAGGGCGGGCTGTTTTCAAAATGTGGTTCTCGCCTTAGCACCGCGCACATTCGTTTCAAGAGTTCACAACAGTTTCAAGGGTCGTCATGGAGAACATCCCCCAAACATGTGTTCGGGCGCGATGCCAATTTGTTGGGAAGCAACAGTTCCGTTGGTTCGTAGTGTTGAAGTCCCAGAACTGTCGTTCTGGCACGATTCAGGATCGTCAAGACACCACAATAACGGTGATTCTCGGCGTTGAAGTCCCAGGGGTACGTTCTGACACAGTTCAGACTGGTCCTCCAACGGGGCATTTCCCTTATTGATCATTGTAGGGGTTTGCGAAGAGGGAGCCAGGAAGGATGGTTTACAGTATTGCAATATCGTTGGTGAGTCTTGCGTTTACACTGGTCCTCTTCCTCCTCCTCCACAACCCCCTCCTCCTCCTCCTCCTCCTCCTCCTCCTCCTCCTCCTCCTCCTCCTCCTCCTGTACTCCTTGTCTTTATAGATAACCCCTCCTTGTCACACCCCGAGGCCAGTCGAAAGGGCGGGCGGGGCGTTTCGCCTGAGACTTCCTCGCCAGTTATGACCGTGATGCTTTCAATCAGCGACAACAGTTTCACATAGGGGGCGGGTGTTTTTCAAAATGTGGCTCTCGCCTGAGCGCCTTGCACATGTTTTGTGTATGCAAACGTTTCACGGAGTGAGGGCGGGTTGTTTTCAACATATGGTTCTTGCCTCAGCGCCGCGCGTGTTTCTAAAACGACACATTCGCAAAAGTCTTACGGATTGAGGGCGGTTCAAAATGTGGTTGTCGCGTTAGCGCCGCGCACATTCTTTTTCATGAGTTGCAAGATCTTCGCGGATGGAGGGCGGGTCGTCTTCAAGATGTGGTTCTCGCGTTAGTGCCGCGTACATTTCTTTAAACCATGTGCAAGAGCTTCGCGGACTGAGGGCGGGTCGTTTTCAAAATGTGGTTTTCGAGTTAGCGCCGCACACACACTCGTTTAAAACATCTGCGTTTCACGGATTGATGGCGGGTGGTTTTAAACATGTGGCTCTCGCTGTAGCGCCGCGCGCATTCGTTCGAAACATTTGCAAGAGTTTCGCGGATTGATGGTGGGTGCTTTTCACAATGTGGTTCTCGCCTTAGCGCCGCGCGCATTCATTCCAAACATTGGCGAGAGCTTCGCTTTCAGCATTTGCAAGGTTTTCAGTGGCTTTCATCGTAAACGTACCAGAGACGGCGCTTCGGAACGACTCAGGACTGTCAGGGCGCGACACTTACGTCTATTCGCAGCAGCGAAGCCCCAGGAATGGTGTCCTGGCACGATTCAGCACCGCCCGGACGTAACAGTCAGGTCAAATCGTGGCCTTGAAGTCCTGATACAAAGGTTTTCACACGCTTCAACATGTTCACACGGTTGTCCTCCAACGGAGCAATATTTTCAGTGGATATGACAATTTTTTGGGGCCTGTGAAGAGGGATCGTGGAGGGAAGGTGTATTTCAACATCGTTGATTGGTCTTGGGTTTACACTGGTCATCCTTCTCCTCCTCCTGCTCCTCCTTCTCCTCCTCCTCCTCCTCCTCCTCCTGCTCCTGCTCCTGCGCCTCCTCTTGCACTTTCGCCTGCCGACTCCTCCCCCTCTCGGCTCTAGCCCGCCCTGGCCGCCGCTCCGGCTCGAGACGGCAGGGGAGGCACCGCCAGCCGGCACTTCCCCCCCGCCTCGCTTGGACGATTGGGCGGCCCCGGTGGCAGCTCCAGGATTCAAGCAGTGGCGAAGCGTTCCGGCTCGCCTATAGCCCCACCAAACTATGTTCTTAGAACTTTTTGTGAATGTTCTTAGAACATTTCTGGCTGGGACCGTCTTTGTCTTGATATTAGAACATGTTTGGGTTCTAATAACATGTCGTGGTATGACTATAGCAATGCCGGGACGGTCGGTCCCTGCTCAAAGGATTGATAGGGCCGAAAGGGGTACGGAAAGAATGGGCACGAAGACCGACAGTATTTCTTGCTCATTTGAACCGGGTGCGTTGTCCATGCCGCCGCGGGCGGTGTTCATTGAGACACAAGGCAGCCTACCCAACAGCGGCCGCTGTCGGTTTTGAACACCGTCTGTTGTTGGGTATCGTATAGTCGGCCCGGATTAGTAGGTCGACCCTCCCAAATCAAGGATACCTTCGTGTCCTATATCTCGCGACCCATGCCTCCTACATTCCAATGGCGATGTGGCCCTCGGAAGGGTCTTGTGTCCTGTCGCGCGTCCTGTCCAATCAAGTTCGACTGTACCCATTTCTTCCGCAACCCGTTCTGGGCGTCCGAGGAGTGAGGAGGAGTAGTAGGAGGAGGAGGAGGAGGAGGAGGAGGAGGAGGAGCGCAGCCGTGACGACGACGGGACCTGAGGTTGCTCGCCCGTTGGGCGGCCTGCGGCGGCTCGAGGCGAAGCACCACCACGAAGCAAACGGGAGCGACACGGACCTTGCGGTGGCTCGCAGGGCTTCTGGGCCCGCGGGGCCCTCCCGGGGCCTGTAGGGCCGTCCCGGGTTGTGCGGCCCAGAGGCTGCCCGAGGAGTGCCACGGCCGTGAAGCAGACGGGCCCCGAGGGAGACGGGCACCGAGGTCCGGGCCCTCGGGGCCCTCCCCGGGCCCCAGGGCGGCCAGGACATGTCATGCAGGGTGGCGAGCTGGCCCCAGGGGAGAAGCCTCGGGGTCCAGGACCCGATAATTGCAGGACCCTGGAGGAGGAGGAGAAGATTAGGAGGCGCAGGAGGAGGAGGAGGAGCAGGAGGAGGAGCAGGAGGAGGAGGAGGAGGAGGAGGAGGAGGAGGAGGAGGAGGAAGAAGATTAGGAGGAGGAGGAGGAGGAGCAGGAGAAGGAATCATGGACGGAGGGCGGAGTGGAGGACGAGGACTGGGACTAGCGGCAGGACAAGGACGGGAGGATGACGAGGAGGTGGTTCGGTTCGGTCGCCCTCGAAGGCACGAGTCTCGCTGGCGACTGTTGGGCGGGTGCCGCCCCTGTGGGAAGTGACAGCCGAGGAGGATGTGGAGGAGGAGGGGGAAGAAGAAGAGAAAGCAGAGGAGGACGACGATGGAGAAACAGTGGAGGACGCGGAGGAGGACGAGGAGGAGGAGGAGGGACAGGAGGACGACGAGGGAGGAGGAGGCCGGCGGAAAGAAGGAGGGACAAGTATGAAAGAGTATGAAAAAGTACTGAGGAGGAGGAGTATGAAGGAGTATGAACAAGTACGGAGGAGGAGGAGGAAGAGGAGGAGGAGGAGGAGGAGGTGTAGGAGGAGGAGGAGGACGAGGAGGAGGAGGGGGAGGAGGAGGAGCACGAGGTGGGAGGGAGGGAGGTGGAGCGCCCGGCTTGCCGATGTCAGCCGACGCCACGGGCGGCGTTGGCCCCCCGGCGGGGCCCGAGGCGGCCAGCGCAGCGGCTGGGCCCGCCGCGGCCGAGGGAGGCGCGCGGCGCGTGGTGTTCTTGGACCCCGCGGTCGGCTTGCCAGCGGATGGGCGGTTCTGGCGGAGTCCCCCCGTGGGATGTTTCGCTGAAGTTAAGTCGGGCCTGCCCCTCCACAGGAGGAAGATTCAAAAATAATCAAGAAGATAGTCTGGGGACGATGTTTTTACAATTTTTTGCAAATTGGGGTGGTATGTTTTGACTATTTTGCATTTTCCGCCCAAAGCCCCCCTGCAGGGGGACACGCCCGACTTAACGCTAAAGTTCCCCATCCGATTGGGGGAGGAGACGCAGTGACCATGACCAAGATGCCGCGGGATCCTGTCGCCCCCGATCTCGGTCACGGTCCACGCCGGCCGACGCCGACTCGCCAGGATGACCCAAGAATTGACAAAGTTCCCTTTTCGAGGTGTCGTCCGAGTTTCGAACTCCTCGCCTCCGTCGGCCGTCCGTCGACCTTGTCGCCTCCGTCGACCCCGCGGTCAGCTTGCCAGCCTGGGGTCGTTTCTGATCTTGCACTGGTGCATAAACCTCTTGGCCTCGGTCAGGAAAGCGGTGCGCACCATGCCAGGGCCCACGATGGCCGTAGCCAGGATCCGACGACGCGAAAAAATGCCACATCGTGAGAAAGTCACGACCGCAGCCATAGACCCCATCATTGTGCGTCAGATGTCAGCCGAGAAACAAGACAAGGCAAGACGAGACGAGACAAGACAAGACAATGAACGCGCAGTCTAAGGCGCCCACCCCATGCAGGGGCCGCAGTTGGCGTTTCATCCCAATCCTGTCGCATCACACTCCTGTATCATCCCATCCTCGCCCAGTCGAGCTTGCCGCGGGCCTGGGCTAGGCCATCCCCTCATGTCGGTCCTTGTCTAGGCCGCCCTTCCTCTTCGGCCCCAGACTAGGCCACCCACCCCTATCGGCCCTGGTCCAAGCCGCTCGGCCTCAGCCATTCCACTCGCGTGTCGCATTGTTTGTGTGATGTCAGCATGGCTACTTCGCCGAGATCGGGGAGAGCCTTGGGGGGCGCCAGAGACCCATGGCCTCACCGTGCCCTTTCGGCACCTCCCCGAGTGATCTGCTCGACGGAGTCGCGCGTGGCAGAGCCAACGCAGCTGCCATGCAACTTCTACACGCTGCCGCGCAACATAAAACATCTACACACATCGAGGGTCCCAGGGAATGCCCGACAGACGATCAATATACACATCCAGTTCCCAACCATCCTGTGGTGTTGGGTCCTTGTTTTGAAGAGACAGTGCCCCGCGTCACTCCTCCTCTCCTGTCCTCTCCTCTCCTCTCCTCTCCTCTCCTCTCCTCTCCTCTCCTCTCCTCTCCTCCTCCCCCTTCCTCCTCCCTCCTCCAAGAGGAGCGCCGCCCTCTCTCCTCTCCTCTCCTCTCCTCTCCATTTCGGCACACCCCTCACACGTTTCGTGGCCTCGCAGGGAGCCCCACCGAAAGCCCCAATGGCTGCGTTCGCACGCGCCCACCGCGCCCATGTCGGCACGCCCTTCACAGGTTTCGGTGGCCCCACAGGGAGCCCCACCGAAGGCCCCGCTGGCTGCGTTCGCGCGCGCCCACCGCGCCCAGTCCGGCACACCTGTCACACGTTTCGCGGCCCCACAGGGAGCTCCAACGAAGACCCCAGTGGCTGCGTTCGCATGCGCCCACCGCACCCATTTCGGCACACCCCTCACACGTCTCATGGCCCCACAGTGGGTTCCACCGAAGGCCCCACTGGCTGCGTCCGCACGCGCCCACTGCATTCATTTCGGTACATTCCTCACACGTTTCGTGGCCCCACAGGGAGCTCCACCGAAGGCCCCAGCGGCTGCGTTCGCACGCGCCCACCGCACCCATTTCGGCACACCCCTCACACGTTTCGTGGCCCCACAGGGAGCCCCACCGAAGGCCCTTGTGGCTGCGTTCGCATGCGCCCACCGCACCCATGTCGGCACACCCCTCACACGTTTCGTGGCCCCACAGGGAGTTCCATCGAAGGCCCAAGTGGCTGCGTTCGCATTCGCCCACCGCACCCATTTCGGCGCACCCCGCGCATGTTTCGTGGCCCCACAGGGAGCTCCACTGAAGGCTCCCGTGGCTGCATTCGCATGCGCCCACCGCACCCATGTCGGCACACCCCTCACACGCTTCGTGGCCCCGTAGGGAGTTCGACCGAAGGCCTCGTTGGCAGCCTTCGCACGCGCCCACCGCACCCATGTCGGCACGCCCCTCACACGCTTCGCGGCCCCACAGGGAGCCCCACCGAAGGCCCCAGTGGCTGCGGTCACATGCGCCCACCGCACACATGTCGGCACACCCCTCACAGGTTTCGGTGGCCCCACAGGGAGCCCCACCGAAGGCCCCGTTGGCTGCGTTCGCGCGCGCCCACCGCGCCCAGTCCGGCACACCTGTCACACGTTTCGCGGCGGCTGCGTCCCAATGCGCCCGCAGCACCAATGTCAGCACACCCCTTGCACGTTTCGTGGCCCCACAGGGAGTTCCACCGAAGGCCCCGGCACAGCCCTCATGCGTTTCGTGGCACCTTAGGGATCGCTACCGAAGAAGATATTCACACTTGGGGTACGCACAGCTGCATCTGGTTGGGTCCTTCGCCAGGATAAGTTTCACAAGTGTGCGCGGTGCACGGCCGCCCCCGCAGAGATGGATAAACCTCGTCATGAAAATGTCGTCGTTCGATGTGATGTTGCGTCGCCATGTCTGCGTCGGCGACTAGGGAAAAACAGGTCGCAATTCGTTGCTGCATGCCTTGTTTTGCCCGCCGTGGTTGTTGTCGTTGCGTCTCCCGTTCGGGCGCGTTCGTCTGCGCGCTCGCCCTTCTTCCACGCCCGCGTTGCTGTGCGTTTCGCGCTCTCTTTTCTCTGACCTCCCTTTTCATCCTTTCGGAGGCATGCCAGCCCAGCAATCAGCATCCAACATCCTCCCTCCCACCGTTTCCCACTCTTCCTCCCCCGTCTATCTAACGCCATTTACCTTCACTGATTACCGACCGTTCGATTAAACGGCATTCGACCGACCTGCCTTTCTTCCCCTACTCTTTCCTTCTCTTGCTCCCCGACCCTACTCTTCACGCTCGTTTCTCGCCCCCCCCCCCGTCCGACCTCCGACCCCACCCCCCCCGACATTCCAACCCGTTCCCTTAGGACCGACCTTTCATTCTGAGCCATTCGTTAACGGCCCCGGAGCCCCGGCACGGTTTCTGGAGGCCGAGCGCGTCGGAAAAATCCAGGGTGGATCTGTTCGAGTCGGTGGACGCACAGGCCCCCCCCCCCCCGGCCTCCCCAGGTTTCCCTCGTCAAGTTTCGAACCGCGGGCCTCTCCAGGAGTGCTCTTGATTTGAATATCGACAGGAGAGGGTCCGATTAGAATGCCGAGGGGAACGCGGCCGCGGCGACGAAAATTGCCCCGGAGGCCCGAAAATACCGGGGACAAAAAACCTAACAACCTTGATTTTTGAGCCTTGAACCTCGATGCCCTCCTTTCCGTATCCCCCTTTTCTCGCCGCCAACCCGCCCGATTCCTTTCCCCCCCTTTCTGCCTCCTCGCAACTGCCTCCCTGCCCCCCTTTTTCGCCGGTCCCTCCTCGTTCCTCCTCTTTCTTCCCCGACGACGACGACAATCACGACCGCGACTACAGGCGCGACGACGACGACGCCGACGACGACGAGGACGACGACGACAACAGCGGCGACAGCGACGGCAGCGGCGGCGGCGACGACGGCAACGACGACGTAGACGACGGCGCCGAGGTGAGCAGGTCACGATCGGCGGGGCGGGCGACACGCAGAAGGCACCCCACCCGCTCCACCCCCCCTTCGCCCCACCCGCTTCTTCGCCCCGCCCCCCGCCCCTCCCCCCCCTTCCGCCCTCCTTCGGCCCACATCCGCGCCAAAGTGCATTCCGGGGGCCCCATCAATGGAGTTGCGCCCAAGCACGGTCCAGCCGCGGCGGCGAGGATCGCCCGCGAAGACCAGAACTCCCGGAGGTTCGAGATCCTTCTTCCTTCAGTTCCTCTGCCCCTCACTGCCCCCGTCGTCCTCCCCCGCCCCCGCGCCCCTGACGGACAGCTCCCGGAGGGGGGGCGCTGGCGGGCCCTCCGACAGCGGCGGCGCCGAGCGCGCCCCTGGCGGGGCCCCCCTTCCGCGCTGCGCGCGCGCATCTTGTGCCTTCGCTTCGGGATGAGCGGAGGATCGGTTGGCCAGCGAATTTGGCGACGACGCCCCTGTTCGGTTGGCGCGGCGCCGTCATGCGTGACAGAAAGTTTTTCAGTTGCGGCACGCTTTGGCCAAACATTCGGACTCATTGAGTTACGTCGCATGGCTCGATTCCGACGCCGCCACGCTTGCATTTGAGACGCCGACGTGGTCCCGAAGTTCACGTACGTTCAAGAGAAGCCACGGTTCCAGATTTCGTTTGCAGCGAGAACCGCGGCAGGGCCGCCGGCCGCGTGCATTCCTCTCGGGCGCCAGGAGGCGCGCCCGAAAAAAGTCCACGGGGCGTTGCCCGCCCCAGCGCGTTTGCAAAGAGCTGCGGCCATCGTCGCGGGGCGCCCGCGCCTTCTTCGCGGGGGGTCGCGGACGCCATGACTTCAACGCTGAGGCGTCCGCGCCCCGCGTCTGCCGCGGGGCAGCCCAGTCGCTGATCCAGCCGGCATCGCACTGCCTGGCGCGCCTAGATTTCGCGCCGCGCGGTGCGAAGTGGGCCGAGGCAGGGCGCGAGCAGCGGGAGTTTGACAATTACTTTCCGGGGGGCCCAGCGCGATCAGCCAAGCGTTTCAAGCTGTTTCAGCAGTCTTTATGCTTACAAACTGCTATCTCATCCGTTCCGACGCCCCTTGGAACGACATTCCATCACTGGGAGGGGGGGCCTCCGCCCCAGATTGGGAAAATGCTGCGCGCGAAGTGGGCTCTGGAGTTGTACCCGGCAGAGGGGCGAGGGCCAGTTTTCCCCGCGCGGGCCAGCGACTGGCAGATCTCAGCAGCAGGAGCGCCAGCAGCACGATTGTGGCCAGACGCGCCCTCGCGCGCAATCGCTGCAGGGCGAGCCTGCGCAGCGTCGACAGAGGGCCCGCTACCTGGGCGAAGTACACGCGTCCGTTCGGAGCGCAGTGGCTGCTAATAGCGCGCAAACGCGTCGCGCGCGCGAGAAATGCACGCGCCCTCGATTAGAGAAGCGACGGCGCCCGTTGTGGAAACACCGCACTGCCCGGATCTGAGGGCGGCCAGGCGCGGCGGGGGGGGCGCGCGCAGGTCCTCTGCGCGGTGGGTTGCCGCTCGGCCGCCTGGAGGGCCCGCCGTCGCTGGCCCCCGGGGCCCCGGCGGCCCCGGCGGGCCCCGGCGGCGTTTGGCTCGCCAGCTGCGGGGGGCGCTTCCGGCAAAGTCCTTTTCCGATTTAACGAGGATACGTCGAGTCGGGGATCGATTGCAGAATCGATGCGCCACAGAATTGACAAGTGCGACGAATCTGCGAAAAGTACGTATAAATCTCTGTAGGTCCACGGAATTTGCGTTGATTCGGCGAAAATTCATTCGGGCGTGAATCAATTATGCAGCCAATCCCCTAGTCGAGCACAATTGGAAACCTCGGCCGGGCGCGGCGTCGCGCCGCTGGCCCCGGCCCGCCGCGCCCCC